TATATATATATATATATATATATATAGAGAGAGAGAGAGAGAGAGAGAGAGAGAGATACACATAGAAATATATAAAATTTCATATGTAATAATCCACTTATATCATTATAACACTAATTAAAATAATGGTAATATAAGGGAGATCAGTAGAGCAAGCAGATCAGGGGAGGGAGAAGAGGAGGGAAAGAGAAGGTGCTGGGAAATGAGATTGATCAAATTGTTATGTGCATAAATGAATGATATAATGAATCCTTCTTTTGTGTATAATTATAAGGCACTAATAAAAAATTTAAATCTATGTGATGACATCTTCACACCCAAAGTGTTAGTATTGGGAGGTGGGGGTTTGGGGAGGTGATTAGTGAAGAGATTGGGTCCCTCAGGAATGGCATTAGTACCCCTATAGAAGGGACCACACAGAGCTGCTTCACCCCTTTCACCACATAAGGCACAGGGAAAGGAGCTATTTATGAATCACAAAGGGGATCCTCACGGGACACTGAATCTGCAGCACCTTAACCTTGGATTTCTAGCTAGAGAAATCAATTCCCCTTACTACAGGTCACCCAGTCTGTGGTGTTCTAAAAAAGCAACCTAAGCAGAACAAGCTGGCCTGGAAGACCACCAAGAAGAGAGGGTGGGCCCCTAACTCAGAAACACCCAACACCAGCAAGGATCTTTTGTCCTGATAAAATTTCCACCCAAGATTCAAGTTCAAGTTCAAGTTCAAGTGTGAGGTTGTTCCAGAAGATGCCCAGGCTAGATGGTGGGTCTGGGTCTCACCTTCACAACTACTCCAACCTGGGCTCAGGTGAGGCTTTCACCTGGCCCTCTCCCCACCAAGGCTGTCCCTCTGAGTGCCTCACAGTCAGTGGAACTCCCCAGAACAGGCCCAACTCACTCCTAGGATTACCTGGAACACTCTACCACCACTACCGTTACCCGCCTTCTGCTCCCTGAAATGCTCCACATCTGACTATTCCAGTTCTCAAACATCAGCATTGTCCTCAGTAGTGCCACGTCCTCATGGGGGCTGTCCCACTACCCTGCGCCTTGCATGAAGCCTGCACCTCTCCCTTCTGAGAACCCACTTATGGGAAATGGCACACAGAGCTTTGGGGACTCCTCACCCCAGGCCAGGACCACACAAGCCCCAAGTGCTATGAAGAGTGGAGATGACCTTTCCATGATGCTCCAGCAATGCTCACATCTGACATTCCTGTTGACTCAGCGCCTTGCTCACTGCAGGCCTCAGCCTCTCTCTGCTGACCAAGAGCTTCTCTAGAGGCCGCATCAACGAATGCTAGCTGGTCTGGCCCTTCTAACCACAGCCTGAGCTTCAGAGGGTCTCTGCTCCATACCAACTGGACTCACAAGTTTGACTCCAATTTTTCCAACAATTTCAAATAATCACTGCTTCCAAAGTAGTTGCAGACTGACTCTTTAGTTGTTGGATAACAAACCACTTAGGAACAAACAGTTGTGAGCCACTGACACAAGAACAGAGCTGCCTTGCTGTGACCTCTGGGTGCCCAGCAGGCATCATTTTTCATCCAACGTCACCCAGCAACACCAACACACAGAACGGTACTTTCCTGAGCTAGAGCAGCACCTAGCTCCCTCAGCTCCCTGGACACCCAGGAACTCTACCAGGATGGGGCACATCTACCAAGCCCTGGCACATCCACCAGAGAACACCTCCCACTCACCCAGGTTCCTCTCCTCCTCTGCCCCGCCTACTTTGTTCCTGGATCTGCCTCACTAATCCAGTGCCAAATGCTGCCTCCACCCACAGCCTCCACCTCCCTAGACAGGCTCCTTGTAGCCTGCTCAAAGCCACGTTCCAGTGGCCACAGCCAGACACATGTGATATTTACTGAGACCTCATGCTTGGGTTGCAGTGCCCACTACAGGGAGGGACAGGGCTGGAATGCAGTTCAGTGGGAAGAGGTTCATGGTGAAGAAGCAGAGGGAAAAGTCAGTGCCCATCCACCCATAAAGTCAAGCCATGGTCTATCTGGTTGTGACAATGGCTTGTGATGTTTCAGCCTCATGTGGCATGGCCTTCACCCTCTGTCATACACTGTCCTGGAAGATTTATGTGGGTTCACACATTTCATCCGCACAAACCGAAGTGCGCTCCTCACCGAGCAGAAGTCCACGTTTCCCAAAAGAGAAATATGCAAGAATCCTCCCCAAGATGTTTAATTTCCTCACAACCCCAGACATCCTAGCAAAGGCATAAGACCCCTCTGGACACCATGAAGCCAAGATGCTGTGTCCTCTGTTGGTAATACTCTTCCAGCCCAGCACCTTGATGCCCAAGTCTCCAACTGAATCCTCACCCAAACTGTTCTGCCTCAACCTACAGTGGCCCCCGACCTGGGCTACAGAGCAGCTGCAGGTCCTCTTTAAGGAAAAACAAACAAACAAACCCACGTCTTCACCAGGATCCTCCAGGACAAAGTCACTGTGCTCCTCCCTTCCTTCCTGTGCCTAGGGCTAAGCCCATAGACCTGAAAGAGGACAAAATGTTCCAAAAAAGACTATTGGGTAAAAAAATCACAGAGAGAAAAAGAGAAAATGGAAGTGAAGACAGACAAGAGAATGAGAGTAAAGAAAAGGAGGAGAAGAGAGAGAGGAAGGAGGATGGGGAAGAAGGGAAGGATAGGGAAAGGGGACTGGCAGTTGGCATCGCAATTAGACTGGTCTGCCCACAGGTCTCAGAAGACCTTGCAGCCACCAGCTCAGGAGCATCTGAAGAGAAGCCTTGCCCTTGTTCTAGGAAGTGGCAAGGGGCGGAGAGCCATACATCCTAGCCTGAGAGTCACCCTCCATATCATAGCTTTTGGTTACCTCCCCTGGATCATCCTAAAGGGACGTCGCTTTAACAACGAATCCCTGCAGACAGAGAGCTGCCCCCTGGAAAAGCCAACTCCAGTCCCCCCACAAACCTGTATGGCAGACAGGATATGATGATGGGCAGATGTCAATCCTACCCCACCAGCCTCTCCTGTTCTCTTCTTTAAAGCTGGAACACTGGACCCCATTCCAGAGTTAGAGACAGGTTAGAGCCACAGCTGGTAAAGCCTGATTTAGCTGACACAAAGCAGTCCTCAATTAAGGCTCACACTCCTATAATCCCAGCTACATGGGAGGCTGAGGCAGGAGGATTGGAAGTTCAAGTCTAGCTGGAATAACTTAGACAGTCTCAAATAGAAAGGGCTATGGTTGTAGTTCAGCGGTAGAATTCCCCTAGGTCCAATCCCAAATACTGAAATAAGTAAATAAATAAATAGCTTGGCCCCTTTGCCCAACGATTGCAGGTGTCCTAAAGCCAGGGCCAGCATTGCACACCTGGACAGAAGACATGAAGCAGCACATGGTGGGGAGAATCTCTCTCTCCTCCTCACCCTGCCCCTTTCTACTAACCCCAGGGCAGAAGGGAGGCTGCACTGCACTCCAACCACAGGCTTTGCAAGCCCAGGGCCCTTCTCCTTGAGGCAGCAGAAGAGAGTGGCTGAAAAATGAGCTTGTGAAATTAGAGTAACCACCTACACCCTCGGCTTTCCCACCTGTGAAATGGGAAGTGCATTTCTTTCATGAGATTGTCATGGGGATGGAAGGTGATTTTGTGCAGTGCTCAGCACAATGCTGAGCAAAATTAGGGCTCAGCCACATGGCCACACTCCTTAGTGACCCTTATACCCTCTCAGGTGCCTTCTCCACCTGTAGAATTCCACCCTATGAAGCAGCACAGACTGAAGCTGCAGGACTCAGAGGGCATGCGAAAGATGTGACTGTATCCCCAGGGTCTCTACCCTCATTATCCATATGGATTTTTTCCCCCAGAGCTGAGGATCAAGCCTAGGGTCTTGAGCATGCTAAGCACATGCTCCACTACTGAACTACACCTGTCCTTATTTTTGCGAAAATCTGGAATGGGCAAGGTGGGGATTTTCCCCCATTTTTAAGAAAGAGTTTTAAAATACAAACTTCTGGAGGAAATTAATGAGGATCTTCAAAGACTTTGGTTGAGCCTTTTATATATACTGCAAAGTGAACACCTGAGTCACCTAACCTTTATCAAAGCAGGTCTGCCAAGGCCATGTGAAGATCGTATCTAAGTTATTCTCTGCATCCTGGCAGCTATACACATGCCTTAAAGGTTTTCTTTATTCTAGACAAAATCTTTACTAAAATTATCTTACCTGTATAAATTCCTTTGTATTCAAGATAGATAAAAGACAATGCAGTATAGTGGCACACATTTAAATTCCAGTGTTTGGGGAGAATGAAGCACCAAGATGGCAAGTTTAAGGGAAGCCTCAGTAATTTAGTGAGGCTTTAAGCAACTTAGTGAGGCCCTAAACAACTTAGCAAGACCCTGTCTCAAAACAAAAACTAAAAAATTTCTGGGGATGTGACTCAGAGGTTAAGTATCCCTGGGTTCAATCCCAGATATCAAAAAAAACAAAAAAAAAACAAAAAACCGAGAGAGATAAAACACACACACACACAATAACAATTAGTCTCCTCCCAAAATGAACACACCCAAGAAACAAAATTATCTGAAGAAATCAGTGTTTTGATCCTTAACCAAGCTATAATAACACCAGTACTCTGGCTCTTAATGCTAAACACATATTTTATTTCTATCGATACACCCTAGGAGGGCTATGATCATGTTAAGATTACAAATTATGGTCAGGAAATGGGGATGTCCCGAGTTCAGTCACCATATCAGGACTTCATTTTCAAGTTTACATATATAAAATGGCTCTACAGTCAAGGACACTAAAGAACAAAAATTCGTTCTCTCCCTTTAATTAAAATACTTTTACTCAGAAAACTAACCAAATGCATTAAGATAAATGCTACTTTTATACATTCCTACAGATTTTTTGGAGGGAGGGTTTCAAAAACAGGGGCTGTTACTGTTTTACGATGAAATCTTTTCTGTCTTTTGGGTCATTATTACTGAAACAGTGGGCACTCACCATGATGTCCCCTTTCAGCAGCTGGGCCGGCTCTATGACAATACAGATTCTGCTGGGGTTTTCTGAACCAACATTGCTTTGGGATAAACAAGAAGGTACATCATTATGCAATCTCATGATTTTGTGGACAGAATACATGTTGAAAAAAGAACATGTACATAAAATGTTCCCATTAACACAGAATCTAATTTCTGAGACTCCACTCTATAAAAATGTGTCCAAAAGGCTTAAGAAAATTCCTAGGCCTTGGAGAGCCCTTACAGCAACATCAGGGTCAGTGACTTACCAGAAGGCACTGAGACCCTACCCCAGGGGCCCAATTATAGAGAAGACCAAGGAGCCCCGGAAAGGTGCAGCTGGATGCAGCTTCAACAAGCTACAGGTAAAATTTTCAAAGTGCCATCAATATGCATAGCATCCAGTGTGAACCCAGAAATGGGACTAAATAAATAAATAAAAAGGTGCTGTGTCCAACTACAACTAAAAATTAAATACTAAAAAAAGAAAAACTGATGCATATAAAAAATGCAAAGGAGAGAGAAAGAAAAATCATAAGGGAACCTTGTCCTGAGAATCTTTCCAATATGTCCACTTCCAAACAGCAATGGCCCTCTCCACTGGAGGCTCCAGTGTTCACCCCCTTGATGGAGCCAACTTAAATGGCAGGAACACAGGACACCTGTGTAAGTCGGACCACAGGCTGCCCCAGGGCTTTCCCTTCTGCATGCTCCTTGGGCTCCTTGGAATTTCTCACCTCATTGCCTACACCCTCTTCCCATGAGAAAGGTAGCCAGGCTCTACCATGATCCCCAGGATGCCACAGGACAAGCTCCAGCACTTACTAGACCCCTGATGTATACACAGGCTGCATGGCTTGGTAGAGCTTCAGAAAGGGCCGGCACACTGAAAGAAAGACACACACCAGGTAAAAATGGGATCAGAGTCTAGCCCAAAAAGAGAGGCAGGTGCAGAGAGATCACAGACTGCATAGGCTGCCAGAGAGACTGGGGAAACAGCTCCCAGAGTTGCCCACATTCAGTGAGCATAAGGAGTCTCCCGCCCCTGCAGGAAATAGCAGGCCTCACCTGAAGCCCAAATTTGGTCCTATGAGCCGCAGAAAGAGAGGTTGACCTTTATCCAGACGCCTACTAGGGCACTAAATAGTGAGACCAGGATGGCTCAAAATCCACTTTCTGCTCAGTAGGTCCACACTGGTCCTGATGACCAGGGGGACTGGAAGGCATAGATACACTTTAAAATGAAAGAAACAAAGTCAGGTGCAGTGGCACACACCTGTAATCCCTGCTAACTCAGGAGGCTGAGAAAGGAGGAGTACAAGTTTGAGACCACCCTGAGCAACTTAGTGAGATCCAATCTCAAAAGAAAATTCAAAAGGGCTGGGCATGTAACTCAGTGGTAGAAACATCACCTAGATGCCCTAGATTTATCCTCAGCACTGCAAAAGGATGAAACTGCAACTATCTAAATCACATAAGGGAGAAGCAGACAGGATTCTGACACCAGCCATGTGCTGTGAGCACTTACATGGGACTGAGGAGGGGACAAGGTCTTGACCACCCACAGGCTATGGGTACCTGCATGGGACTAGGAACCAGGGCAAAAGGTCCTGATGCCAATCCTGTGCTAGGTGCTCTCTCTCTTGAGTATTGGTTCCCTGTCCCTCTCCTAACCAACTGTTTCAAACAGTCTCCCACAGTTGAAGCTTTGTCCACACGACATAGCTGCTTCTACAACTAGGAAGCTGAGGGACAGATTCAGGATGTCGCAGAATCAGGGAGGGGGCTTGTTACCAAATCACGGGCTCCATGCCATGGAAATCTCTCACCTCCTCCAGTGTCGAAGTTAGAGGTGTGGTGCAGGATGACGAAATGCAGGAACAAGGGTGAGGCATTCATCTTCACTGACCCTGAGAGAAGTCCGCTGAGAAACTGCACGTACCTGCAAAGAACAGCGGCTGAGACCCCACAGTAGCACTCTCAGCACTGCACAAGTCTCAGCAGGAGGAAACTGTCTCCTGAGACAATCAGAAGGTCCTGTCCTGCTGCACAACTCAAAGTGGTTATCTGCTGAAGCCTCAGAGGGTCACAGCCCTGGTGGCGGCTCCATTTTATCAATGCTAGGAACTGCCTACATGGCCTCTCACCAAATAGCAGGGACAAAGAGGCACAAGCATCTCCCATGCCTGGGCACCGACACCTGGGAAGCCTCCTCACCCGTTCCCCAAACCCCGTCCCAGGTCAGGCCAGCATCTGGGGCCACATGATGCAGGCCCAGCAACTCATTCCCCCCATGACTTTCTGCTCCCACTCAGGAGGCCTGAGGAACAGTCAAGGTTCACTCTCACTTGTACATGGCACCTCCCACACCAACTGTAAGAGGTTCTTTGACCTCAGAAGTCCCTGAGATACTCTTCCCCAAGAGTCTCCTCTTAGGTCCTCTCTTAGTGGCCCAGCTCCAAGGTAAAGACCACTTGGGACTATCATGGGCCTGGAAGATGTGACTTTTCCTGTCTGAATTCTAGGCTCAGCCCTGCGCACTCAGAGGGAAGTTTCTATATTAGGCGCATGTGATCCACAGGGTCCTCATGAGACACAACAAGGCAGCAATGACCGGAACATGTGTTGGACCCTCCTCCAGCTCTGATGTTCCCTCAGCCTTGGGCCTCCCTCCCTGTGCCCTGCCTGACACTCCCTGAATCCCTGTGTACCTGGTAGCCCAGAGCTGCCCCTGCCCTGAGTTCCCTGACAGCAGTTCTAATGATGCACCTCATGCTATTTGAGGGTGGATAAATGAGGCACATTTGGCATCCAACAAACTGTCAATTAAGATGGGAGTCTTTCAGTGGTTGTAGGACTGTGAGATAAGACCGGTAGTCCATCTGTCATTTGTCGCCTACTTTCTCTGTTCATCTAGTTTTACTCACCTAAATTTTACATCCTGAGTCACCCTCTAACACTGGGTGGCCCTGAGCACAAGTGACAGCTCTTCCCCAGGCCCTCCTGTGAGAGCCCCAGCCCAATGTATACAGTCCATGGGCTCCTGGCTATGGGTGTGGGCAGTTCTGCAATAACCACTCAGGTAAGCTGGTCCTTTACAGGCTGGACCTGCTTGGGCCTATTGTGCACCCAGACCTCAGAATAAAATTGGTACTTGTTTCACAATTTCATGGAAATGTGGAACATTCTGCAGCACCCAAGGGCTCCTGTTACCAACAGTGTGAGAAGCTGACTTTAGCTGAAGTCAGAGATGTCACCACTTTCTGCAGGGGACAAACAGCTGTCCTCCAGGAAGCTGAGATCGCTCCTTGCTCAGAAGCCATTAGCTCCTGTCCCACTCTATGGGCAAAGCCTCCATTTCTACCCAACTGGGGTTATTGCTCATGTACAAAAGACCACAAAAAGTTTCTTCCTTCAGATGAGTAAGGTCAAGGTACGGCAGCAGAATACTGTTTCTCCACAAGCTCCCAAAGAAGGACACAGAGTCCAAGACCACAGGCCCACTGTTGACCATGGGGTAAAAGAAAGAAAACCACTTGCATCTGCCCCAGGACTCTGTCTCTGAAGCAGAGAGCCTGCCCTGCCTGAAATTGGCTCTCAACAGTCACCAGCTCTCCATCTCTGTCTATGAAGGGTCACTCAGTTCACAGCTTCACCAATCCAAAAAATAATCACAGTCAGGCTTCTGTGCCCATAAGTTCTATATCCACAAGTTCCACCAAACTTAAATCAAAAACTTTGGTAGGGAAAGAAATGCATCTGTATTGAACATGGACAGGTTTTTGTTTTGTTTTTTCACTATTCCCTAAAATATACAGTGTCAACCACTATTTACATAAACTCATTTACATTTATAAGTCATCTAGATATGATTTCAAGTAGACAGGAAGATGCATGTAAGTTTCATGTAAATACAAGATCTTTCTGTATAAGGAACTTGAGTATCTGCAAATTTTAGAATCATGAGGTTTCTGGAACCAATCCCCTGACGATACCAACGGATAACTATACTAATAATTTGAAGGTTCTGAGGGGTTCCTTATCTTTCTGCCAATAGCTTCTTTAGAAGTTGCTGTTGAGATTTTGGAGCTTGTCGGCCACAAATCCTAAGCTTATTATTCAATCTCAGAAGTGATTATTGTGAGCTTGAATTTGAATTGATTTCTTGGCCTTGGTCCTAAAATAGTCCACAAGGAACCCCTGTCCACAGGGTGTCTGTAGGACAATGAAGTCTCCCTGCTCCCATAAAGGCTGTCATTGCACATTCTTTGGTCTCAAACATCCCTCCAGATTTCTCCTACACATGCATTCAGTTGTTCACCAACTCAATAATTATTTGGTGAGCATCTTCTAATGCAGGCACTGAGCAACATATCAGAAAAAGATGGAGTATTAGGGGCAGTCCCCTGATCTTGGGTGCAAGGCATTAGGCTGCAAATGGGATGTTCAACTTTGCATTAGAATGCAAAGTTGAACATCGCATTTCATCAATTACAGATGCACAGCAGGCAGATGCACCAAAGCTGTGGGCATGTTAAAGCGAGAATTATTCCCCTTCGCCACACTCTTTTAATGTTATTAAAAAGTTGCTGGTTCAATAAATAATAAGAACAAAAAGGAGACAATAAGGAGGCCATGCCTCCCTGGTGTGTGCCAGACATCTTTTTGCATGGCTCACATCTTGTTAACACCCTATCTTCTGCGCAAGAGGTCATATCTATTCCCATTTTGGGAACTGCTCAGTGAAAAAATAATGCTTTATGGTTCAAAATAGAACAAGGGCTATTTAACTATAATACTAATAATATACCAGGTTTTTAACACAATTTGCATTCCTTGAGGAGCCTGTTGTTCAGACACAGCCAGGCTCCAACCCATAGTCCCACATGTAGCCCACATTCCTCCAACATGCCCCAGTCTGAGCAGAGACAGACCCAGGCCTTTGGAGACACCCACAACAAAAGGAGAAGGCGCCTCTGGCAGTCCCTGAAATTGTTCTCCATATCTCCTGACACAGCCCTTGGCTTCACCAGAGAAAACAGATGTGGAGGATCATGACTCACTTACAAAAGGTCGGGATACTACGATGCTGTCTCCAAGATAGAAAACAATTTTCAACTGCCTTGCTAATTCTTGGACAAATTGCCTACTATTTGCCTTAAAGTAAAACTGTGATGGAGATATGTGCTGGGCTCCACGGGTTGCCATCTGCCAAGGAAGTACATCTGGAAGAGGAAGATGGTGCTTCTCACTGCACACCCCACCCTGCTCAAGTTCCTCTTGACCTTAGCCAGGAGGGCAAGCATCAAAGGAGAAAGTCCTGCTCCACCATGGCCATTCCCCAGCATTTCCAGGAGCCATGTTGAGGACAGATAGGGGTGGTGGGCAATGTCAAAGAGAAATCCTCCCTGGCTTCAGGGAGCTGGTGCACAGGAGTTGGCACATGGTTGCTCAACCTTTGGCCTTTTTCCTATCAGTAAAATTCTACTAACATTCAACTATGTTCACTTACTTCCCTTTGTCTATGGTTGCATTTGTCTTAGAACAATGGTGATAGAGACCACGCAGTCTGGAAAGCATGAAGCATCCACCCTTTAGCCTGTTACAGAACAGGTTCACTGATCTCCCGTCTAGCAGGCAGAAACAAGTTCCAACATGATCATGGAAATTAGAACTCACTGGCTGCAGAACAGGAAGACCCCCACTGTGAGTGAGGAAAAGGGGATACTGGGTCTACCTCTCTCAAAGTAAACTGCAGTGTAGGGGCTCTCACCAGACCCAGAGGGTGGCTCATTTCCTCATTTCTGCCAGATCAAGCCCTTTCCTCATGTTCTTCTGCACAATTCAAGGGCACTGTTGAGGGGCAGATTAGAAGTCCTCTGCTTGCATTTGTCTAAAGGTAATATCCTATTCATCTTTTCCCTCTGGGCTCCAGGATGGATACGTACCATTTCTGGGAAGGCTGCATTAAAGCCGAAACTTTGTCATCATAAAACAACTTCATTGCAAATCTGTCAAGGGCCTGGTCAGCACTGGGGAAGAAGAGAGAGAGACAGAATTAACTACGTGGAACTGCCAGTCACCATGAGGCTGAGTGGCCTGAGACATACACCCTGTGCCTGTTCAGGGCAACCAACTCCCACTGGGGGCTTTGTGCTTTTACTCCACCTGTGCACACTCATGCCAAGCTTTTCTTCTTAGACTTAATTTCCCTGCAGGAATATGTACAGCTCAAAGTGGGAATCACACCTGCAAGGTTTGAACTCCTACCTGAAATACAGGTACCTTATCTAAGGGTGTGACGCATAGACGTGCCGTACACTCAGCTCAGCAGGAGAAGAACTGGCTAAGGCTCCTCAGCTAGCAGGTGGCTGACCCAGTCTCAGGACCACAAAGACATGAGGAGCAAGCCCAGAACATGTCAGAGCATACCCCTGTGAAGATCCAAGAGACAAGTGTGGGACACTCAGTTCAAAGTCACTTCTCAGAACAGGCTTGAGGAGGGTTGGGGATGAGGCAGCCCAGGATGGGCTGGAAAGGAGTCTGAGGCCTCAGGGTTGCATAAGGACATTTCTGAAGTGACTGCTGCAGGAGGGAAACTGCTTTCCAGCAACATGTCTGACATTCAACTCCAGCTCCAAAATGCCCACAAGTAGTATTCACAGAACCTTCTGGAAACCTCACAGCAGGGCACTCCTGGGTTTTCTGAAGTGACTTCATGATAAATCATGGAATATGATTGATTGAGACTTAACAGGTGAGCTAAAGGCTTCCTTGAAATCTGACAAAAGTAAGGGCCTTCTTCTGAGAAAAATGTGTATGTATCCCTCCAGAAAAAAAAAAAAAGATATATTCAGAAATTGTGGACAACTTAAAAACCCAGAAAAAAATATGCAATGAGATAGGCAGAAATACAAAGGAAAAATACTCAAAGTCAATGTTAATGTGATTGACTCCCATTGAATGTTGTATAATGAAGGCTTGCTGCTTGTATTTATCTGAACAAGGGGCTAGGCTGATGGGGTTTTCCCAAAACAGAAGGGCCCAATTAAGCACTGAATATTTTACAGAGTAAATTTATCATTTAAGTTGAAACATGGAATTATATACCACTTACTGACTATTGAGCACATTTTTGTTTAATTAAATGTTGAGAATACATTTTGGTCATTGTGTGTGGGGAGGGGGGTTATTTTTTGTTTTTTGTTTTTTGTTTGGTACTAGGGTTTGAACCAGGGGCACTTAACCGCCAAGCCACATCCCCAGCCCTATTTATATTTATTACAGACAGGGTCTCACTAAGTTGCTTAAGACCTTGCTAAGTTGCTGAGGCTGGCTTTGAACTCACAATCCTCATGCCTCAGTCTCTCAAGTCACTGGGATTATAAGCGTGCACCACCACACCTGGCATGGCTGGTGTTTTTGTTCAATATTGATCATATTATTACTTTTAATAATATCATTTCTGGCTTTCTTTTGAACTCATATTTTTATGGTGCTGATACAAGTGTTCTTTGTGTCTTGAAGTTTCTTTCTTTCTTTTTTTTGTTTATGTTTCTGTTTTGTGCTATTTGCAGTTTTGTGATAAAGGCCTTAAACTGGTATGCTCCTCTGATTAGTTCTAATACATAACCTAAGGGAGAACACTGCAGGAATGATACAAAATGTATAACATGAGGGTATTCATGCAAGCCCTTGAGGAAAGAAAACGCAGAAGCAACTTAAATTCTAAAGAAAAACGTCATGTAACCGGGACAGGTAAAACCAGCAAACACTTAAACACAGAAAATTATCTATAGAACAGAGTACTGGACAGCTGCTCAAACAATACTGGGGCAGGTATTCAGGAAACAGTGTTAATATAGAAAAACAGTGACAGAAAGTGCTGTGGTGTCAGACCACTTAAATGGAAAGCACTTAATCCTGTTACTCCTCCTAAAAACAGCAGCATGAATGATAGCTCACACTTGATTTTCAGTGCTGTTCCAAGCGTCTTGCAAGCAGTGACACATGGAATCCTCACAACACTCAGTAGATTCAGCTGTAACTCCCTGTCCCCATGAAAATACTGAGGCTCAGAAAGGCTCACATGGACTCTCTGGAGAAGGCAGGGTTTTTAAGCAGAGACCCAGGAATGTGCTTTAAACAAGCAAAGCTTCCTCTCCATGCTTCCCCCAAGTGCAAGCACCCCCCACAGCATGCAGAACTTCAGTTCAGACAGAACTGCATTGTGGGGCAGAAAGGCTCAGGGTGGTCTCTGTGTAGAACCAGCAGGCTAAATTTGGTCTCTGACCAAATACATCTGGCTTAACTGAGGGGTTGATGTGACACAGGAATCTCAATGTGTCTGGCACACACACAAATGCTTATTCTCACCCAGAGGGGCTCTTATTTTCACTCAGGGGTTGGGTTTCCTCCCTGGCAGGCACCAGCTCCCCAATTTGTTTCCAGAGAAAACATTCTGAAAGTCAAATTTCACTCCTTCTCACTAGCAAGGAAAAGGTTCATTGGCTTCTATGAGTAGGCTTGTATTTCCTCAGCCTGGAGTAGCTCAGGCTTCACAAGGTAGCCATTGAGAAGCAGGGTTGGTACAAACACAAAATCCACAAGGAATGATATTTTCTTTTTTTTTTTTTTTTTTTTTTTTTGCAGTGCTGGGGAACGAAACCCAGGGGCTTGCACATGCATATGCTCTACCAGTGAACTACACCCCCAACCCAAGAATGATACTGTCCAAACTGAATTTTAGTATACAAGGAGATCCTGGCATTTGAAAGCCTATTAGGGTACATAAACCATGGATGACCAATGCCTGAGACTAGATCAAAGCTGAGATCCTTGTGACCATATAGTGTCTATTTAACTTCTAGCAGAGGGGACCCTGGTGGCTCCTTTAAAGTCCCCACAATTACTATCTCACCTGCTGGCCCAAACCAGCTTCCCACTCAGAGGTTGGACAAGCTGCCCCATGTCTCTGAGCCTCCGTTTCTTCATCTGTGAAATGGGAATAGCAATAACTGCCTCACGGCTTAATTGGGAGGATTCAGGAAGAATAGTAAAACATTCAGTGTCCTTCCCAGAGGCCAAGTGTATGTAAAAAAAAAAAAAATGGTGCGGCTAGATTAGGTCTACCTTATTGCTAGATTAGGTCATACCTTATTTATAAGGTATGACCTAATCTAGCAAGAATTCTGCTCTTTTAATAGCAATAATATTACCTCTTGTCTTTATTAGGAAATGACTAGGCTCATTCAGTTTTCATGCCTCCATGAAAGTCCTTGGCATCCATCATACACACCCTCAAATAGGAAAATGTCTTTTTCATTTTGTAGTGTAAATCCTTCTCTGGAAGCTGGTTTTACACACAGATCACTATGGTACTGCAGACAGGAAATATGTCCAGGGTAACTCCATTAAAAGATCACCATCCACCCCTCATAGTCTCAGTGTCCAACACCCCATGATGATGAGCCCTGGTCTCCATCCTACCTGGCCGAGACGTTGGTGAAGTGCTTGGAGGATGATATGACCACTCCGATGTGCCCTTTCCCACCCTGCAGGAAACAAAAGATGAACAAATGTTCTCTGGAAACCCGCAGCTTTCAGAAATGCAATTTGACAGAATGCTCGCTCACCAGAGTTCTCTGTCAGAACAGAATGACAGAGAGCTTGCTTTAGAGGGTAGGCCAGCTTTGTTCCCTCTGCCTCCCTGTTAGGAGTAAGCCGCACCCAAGTGCAGCCTCCAGAGTAGGGAACCTGCAGGCAGGGAGCCCACAGCCAGAGCAGGTGTCAATCAGGGTGTCTGCAGAAGCCCTGCAGGGCAGACTTAGCCAGCAACAGACATTTCACCAATTAGGCTGGACAAAACTGTGCCAGGAACTGTAGAAATTAGCATGACTTAATTACCCCGTGAAACAGGAGTAAATGCCTGCTCACAGGCTGACAGCAACCAGGGCTGCACACAGGGCAAGACTGCAGATTCACCACCCTGGTGCCTGATACCACCCAAGCTCCCAGGCACCCCCACTTGGCCTTCCTCCTTACAGACAGAGGGACCCTTGTGCCAGGAAGCTGCTGTGATAGGAAAAGGATCCCTCAAATCATAACCACAGACAGACGCAGCCCAGTACATAAGTCAACATGACCAACAGCAACAGAAGGGGAAGCCATGAGACAGGATGCACCCACCCACACACTGCACCTTCAAAAACACACCACCATAACCTACTTGCTAACAGCAGTTGGGAAATCACAGCTGGCCAGCTCTTTATCTCTTTTCCTACAAGCTATGAATGAGCTAAGAGTCCTTACATTTTCACACCAATGAAGAAAAAGTAAAAATAAATGAGATTCTGAGGCATGTGAAAATTATATGATGTTAGAACATCAGTGTCTACCACTGAGTCTGAGGGGGACACAGCATGCATATTTCTTTAAAGAACCCTCCACCTACACTGCAGCATCAGGATTGAGGAATTGCAGCAAGACCAGGCAGCCTACAAAGCCTAAAATACATACTACCTGGATCTTTTAAGAAGTTTGCAGAGCCCTTTGGTATGCAGCTCCCTAACTCTATCCTCAAAAAGGAAAGAAAAATCCAAGTCAAACTTGCGATCAAGCAACAATCACATGCAAATGTCACCAGGATGATTCTTCTCTCTGTTCTGTGAAAGTTAAAGGCATTTCTGATAGATACTCAAAGCAGGAACTCGACAAATTCTTTGTTATTGAATCCTAGCATATAGAGTCACTAACTGTAAAGCTACTAACATGTTTTTTACATAAAATTACATTTGAGAGCAGAAATTCATCTACAAGAAACAACACCTCAGCCAATAGCAGGCACACAAGTTGTGACCATTACTGCTGATATCTTCTATCAGTCATTTTTGTGGGACTAATTATGGACACATAAAGTATATACTAAGAAATCTCAGGGAAGAGAGACAGCAACATATTAAATGTGAGGACTTCAATATCCCCACATTCAATAATGGACAGATCATCCAGATGGAAAACCAATAACCAAATCAACCTGTGAAACATACAGAACAACAAACATGCAGATTGCACCATCTTCTCAACAGAATGCAAAATATTTTCCAAGATAGAAGGCATGTTAGTTCACAAAACAAGTCTTAACAGATTTACGAAGACCGAAATCATATCAAATATCTGTTCTGACCACCATGGTATGAAACTTTAAATAAGTAACAGGAGGAATCTTGGAAAATTCACAAATATGTAGAAGTTAAACAACATGCTCCTGAAAAACTACTGGGTCAAAGAAGAAGTTAAAATATCTTGAGACAAACAAAAATGGAAGCACACATACTAAAATTTATAGGACACAGCAAAAGCAATTTCAAGAGGAAGTTTAGAGCAATAAACTACCTCAAAACAAAAAAAGTTTTCAAACAGCCTAACATTATATGTCAGGAAATTAGGAAAATAAGAACTTAGCCCAAAGTTGATAGAAGGAAGGAACTAACAAAAATCTAAGCAGAACAAAAGAAGACTCAAAAAGCAATAGAAAACAGCAGCAAAACTAAGAGTTAGATATTTGAAATGACAAACAAAATTAGCAAACATTTAGATTAACTAAGATTAATAAATATAAGACCCAAATAAATAGAAATGAAGGAAAGAGGAACATATCACAACCAACAGCACAGATATAAAGGATCACAAGAGACTACAATGGATGATTCTACACTTACAATGAGATGGATAAACTAGAAGAAAAGCCTAGAAGCATACAACCTCTAAGACCAACTCATAAACAAACAAAAAATCTGAACAAAACTATAATAAAAATAAAAAGCCTCCCATCAAAGATAAGCTCAGGGCCAGATGGTTTCATGGAAGAATTCTATTGAACATTTGAAGAAATAAGATTAAAATCGTCCAAAAAACTGAACATTTCCAAATTCATTTTCCTGGGCCAGGATTACCCTGATATGAAACCTTTCCTTGAAAAAGCCATGTAACAAATATTTCAGGCTTCATGGACTTCATGGTCTTGGTGCAGATCCTCAAATCTCAAACACGATGTGGGTGGAAATAGCTATGATAAGCGTAAAGAAACGGGGGTTGGGCTGGGGATGTGGCTCAAGCAGTAGCGTGCTCGCCTGGCATGCCTGCAGCCCGGGTTCGATCCTCAGCACCACATACAAACAAAAATGTTGTGTCTGCCAAAAACTAAAAAAAAAATAAAATAAAATAAATATTTAAAAATTCTCTCTCTCTCTCTCTCTCTCTCTCTTTAAAAAAAAGAAAGAAAGAAATGGGGGTAGCCAAACTACACAAATGAAACCTGAACTTCATACAACTGTCACCTAAAAACACCTCTTAACT